GAAACTTAAAATAAAATAATATATTTTTGTGGGATAATTGTTCAAATCTCTTATTATAATTAAAAAAAAAAATTAAGAAAAAGAAATCACTATTTATTTTACAATAATTTTTAATCTAAAGTTATTATCAGGTTTTTACCAACAATAAAAAACCAATTGACCAATTAGGCTGCAGAAACACTTTATTAAAATCGATTGATCATAAAATAATAAATATTTAAAATATGATCTAATCATAAAATCGCATCTATAGACAAAGAGATAGTTTTATAAGTTGAGAGGTTGATTAACTGTCTTAATAAAACTATAAATTGGTAATGGCTACAGAGTATAAAATAGTTCAATACGTGAGTGCAACACAAAATAATCTTATTGTCTCAATTGACGCAATCAATCAATCAATCAATATAAAATATTTAACCATAACAGATAAGTCGAATTTGTAAAATATATTCTCTTTAAATGCACTCAATTTTGAAATCTATTTTACCATACCCTTTGATCATATCAATAGATCACGAAAATTCCAAAATGTTTATGGTAGTGAGTTCGGTGTTTATTTTATGAAAGTCTTCAACGTTATATGCGTCATTATGTACCAAAGATGCGATATCCTTTACTAAACTTTGTCTTGTCTTATATATAGTAGATCTTATAATTATGTAGAAAAATTACTAAGTACTGTATAATTTAAAAAAAGAAAGTTCGATCACGAACTTTGATCTTTGATGTACAGAAACCTGAGTCGAACTATTTCAGAGACTGGATATAAGTGCACATCTATACTTTCGTATACATGTTGATTTTGTGAACATTTGTATATGTTTTGTTTAAAAAAATTTTAATAAGATAATTATAAACCTAAATTATTTGCTATTTTATAAAAAATTAAGCACTGATGAAGTTTTAAAAAACAGAACGAAATATATGCTGAAAATTTTTAAATAAAAAACTTTTTCATTTGGTTTGTCTGCTAGCCGAAAAGGAATTTTATACTTAAACATCTATATCTACACAAATAACCCAGCAACGATCAAGGTTTTTTTAAGATTACCTTCAAAACCACTAGCAGACGAAATTAATTAATGCTTTGTAATATTAATGGTAATTTTGGTGTGATAGTCGTAATTAACATATGTAGTTTTGAGAACAAATGCATTTTTGCAAAGTTTATTATTTTAAAACATACTAACTTGTGATTGCATATAAACTAAAAGCGTGACTACTTCAACAATATTTAAATAACCATTAAGCTGAAAAATTAAACACTATTTTTCCTTTAACCATAGGCTTTACTTAGTTAAGAAGTGCAAAAGTATAGAGTTACAATCAAAAAACCTCGAATTGGTTAATCTCGCAAAAGTAAAAAATTGTAACGGATGTAACTTGATGCTATCTCAGTTAAGAAGAGAATATAACTACCAGCTACACTTATCTTTAAAGGAAAATCTAATGGAAAATATTAGAAAAATATAAAATTTTTAAATTACAATTTTCCACTATTCGCAATATGGCACTTTAGAAAATATTGCTTCTCTGTTTTTTACTGTAAAATAGCTTAGCTCCCAGTATTAAAAGCATCATAAAATTATTTAAGGGCGATGTAAGTGGAAAAACTATAAGAGCAAAAGAAATCGGGAAAGGTAAATATACACTTAATGACAAAATGTCGTTAGATAGAGTTATGTATTAAATAATCTGTTATGTCTTAAATAAATTTAGGAATTAAAGAATTACCTTTGACTTCATTCCAAGGCTAAAGAATAATTTCTCCTCTCCGTAAATATATTACATATTGCATATATACAACAAAAATTAAATAAAATTTTCAAAGAATTAAGATGAGATACAAAGTAAAACTACAAATATACTTCAAAATTTTAACTGTAAAATATATGTTAGTTAAGACCAATTATTCTAAAATTATTACCCTCTTCAGCTGCAGAATAGTGGATGGCTTACTTACACTTATTTATAAAATATACATCGATAAAATAAAATTTTCAATATAACAAAAACTTTTCTGATCAAATATAACTTTAAATTAATTTATAGAAAGTTCATTTACATTCATTAAATGTAATTTCTTCACATTCTAAGGATATAAGAGAAAGAGAAAATAATTTCACATTTTCCTTGCGGAAATTAAAAAAGAAAATGCATCCAAAACATAAAGTAGATAAAAAAAAGGACTGTTTTTATCTTCTTAGTTTATTTAGTTGAGAAAATCGCATTTAATAGCAAATGACTTAGTTTTTGCTCAATTCTTAAAAAAGAACTAAAGTAATTATCACCTTCTTCAGTTAAAAAAGAAAGTTAAAAAGATTTACGAATTCTTCTATATTTTTGATATTTTTTTCAAATCTTTATTTTATTTAATTTTCCTTTTGATAGGAAATATTTTTTCACAAAATATGACACTTTTAGATGCTTTTTGACTGTCATATATAGGTATCTTGGAAAATGTAGATTAAAACACTGACCAATATTTTTTTTGCTCTGACCTGGCATAGGCTGCCAGTTTATCTCTATTTTTATAAATAAGCAACAATTTTTCAACACTTTCAACTAAATACCACAGATATGACAGAGATAGTGGAGAGAACCATATTTTTCGATAATCTGCTTTTATTGTTATAAAAAAACTCTTGGTACGCATCTCTTAACGATAAAGGTCGATGCAATTCAACCTTTCTTTTCTCTGCGATCTTGATCACAGGAATATAGTAAGTAATTGCAAACTGATTGAGTTAACCAGACAATATGTCCATATTGAAACATTCTTTGTATTGTTAACAAACAATTGTTTATATTTTTCTGTAAATTATATTTTAATATGGTTAAATGATGATTTCAAAACTCCAGCAATCTCATTGAAGTACCCTATTGATATATCAGTCTTATGGTGCGGTTGCCTTCGAATGACTGTCGGTTAGAAAATTATGCTGGATGATTCAATATTTTATATTATGACTTTTGCCTTAGTTGTAAGGAAGGCGAAGAAAGTGCTTTGTAACTACTTTTTCACGGTATCAACTCATGCACAACGAAAAGTTAACATATCTAGGCCTCACTTTGTAGAAGAAACAAGTCCTCCCTCTAAAGAGCATCTTTGGATTTATTAAACATTTGAAATGGTAAAATAAACTTTCAACATATTAGGGGCATACTTGACATATTAAGGGCATATTAGTAAGAGATATTAATCAAATGCAAGTCCTGTCTGTAAAGAGTACCTTCAAATTTTTTAGAGATACAAAATGGAAATATAAGCTTTAGAGTTTTATATCGTAACCCAATAAACCTAAATGGGGTAAGTAGACCTCTAAAATCATCTTCACAATCGCATACAATAAATATTTAATCATTTTTTCTGCACGGTCATCATTATAATTTTTACAGAAATCTCAACGGAGGGATTCCCATCTAATCGTATGCATATCTCTTGTCCAACAATATTATCTGATAATAAAGTGAGTAAATCTAAATGACTATGTTTCTATTAATTAAAATATTCACTGACGTCATAACTAACGTTAAAATGCAATTTAAAATATTTAATAATATCACACAACTGGTGCACTTTTATTTGATGACCAAACTTTTTAGTTAGCGATTTTCAAGCTAATTGCCACCAACGTTGAGTCACACGCTTATCTGCCACTTTGGTGCTCATCTAATATTTGCACAAAATCACCGTTAACAATCTTTAAGCTCACAATTCGTCTCAATTACCAAAATCTTAGCATAGAACATATGGTAACAGCCACAATTAACCTATAATATGTATCCTATATGCATTATTAATGAAACAGTGAAGCACAAGGATACAAGGATGTGAGTGCCAGTTCAAGTGATTCAGCACAAAAAAAAAAAAAAAATTAAAAAGAAATAAAGTAAACATGGCACAACTGACGTCGTCGGTCATTTAAGGTAGACGCCACAAGTGCGAGAAAACGATATTGGCCACACATAAGCCATATTATATGTATATTTATATTGTGGGAAAAAATAAAGTGGCCACAATTCTTCTATACTGCGTTTGCTTTTGTTGTTGTTTTTTGTTTTTTGACCATAAAGTGTCATAAAGACGTTAAATATCGTTATGGAAATCAGAAACTTTTGTGTTAATTCAATTGAAAAATTGCAACAAAAACGAGTCAAGAGAATCGAAAATAAAAGAATAAAAAAATAAAAAAAAATAAAAATTTCGAAAAAAAGTTAAGCTCTTAAAAAATAAAGGATAAAAGTAGAATAGTGCGTTATATGGAATTGCAGGTGTGGTCCTTTGGATTGTGAGCCTGCTGCGCGGCGTCGTATTTACATATTAACTATGAATGTGGCGCCCCTATGCCGTCAGCAAAGAAGTCAGATTTTATGCATAAAATACTGTCAATGGTTGTGGCACTTTCTCATACAAAATACAAATCAAATAATTGCTTTAAGGTAGCAGCAATATTGACAAGTAAATTTTTTCGTTGGAGCAATTCGTGTTCCAATTGCGTAAATTGAATTGTTTTTATAAAAGCAAAAACGCAATGTTAATATTCAAAAGATTTATTGAAATTTAATACACAAAATTTAATCAAATTTTATTTAAACAATTAAATTTAACACATATTTATTGCTTTCACACATTTTTTTAAAACGCCAAATGAACTTTAACAGATTTTTCATATATAATCACTAAATATAGACTTAAGACTTTATTATTATACAATACATTTGAAATAAAAAAAATTTTAACTAAAATATATAAGAAATTGTATCATACGCACATGAAGAGAAACTTTTTTTACATTTTTTTTTTGTATCTTCCACTTGACTTCATATTTCGATCAAATACCCGGCATCGAATTACAAAACAAATGTTTAATACCAAAAAAAAACTTTTCTGCACAAGTACTAAGATGTGTAAACTCTTTTTAATTATTACCAAATTTAAAAGAAGTTATTAATTGCTTAAATTATAATTAGTTAATTATGTTAGTTAAACTCACCTGTGGACACATTTTACATTGATACTTGCGGCCTGAGCCACCGCCACCGCCGCCGAGAGAAGCGCTAATTTTGGTTGCATTTATAGGTTGGGGTACCACAAGTAATGCAGCTGATGCTGCTGCTACAGCTGAGCTATGATGACCAACATGATTACCATGATGTGTACCACCAGCTCCACCAATAACACCTCCTCCACTACCTGACACATTGTTGTTAGATGTTGCTACAGCGCGTAAAGCGGCACCAGGACCATATAAAGCAGTCATTTGATTGGTTTGCGGTGTTGTTACTGAATGATGATCCAATCGATTATCATCCAAAAAGTGTCCTGAAATTGAAATTAAATATGTTTAATTATGAAGTTTAATTAATTCATTATAACATGAAAATGATTTTCTCTCACAAATTAACTAAATTTTAACTTTAATATATTTCTTATTTCTCAAAATGTATATTAAAAAAATATCGACATTTGGCTATTGCCTATTTTGAATTTGGTAGTTAGTGATTAAAAGTAGTTTTTGGAAATATTTATTAGTCCATGCCAATCAATTGTTTGTACATATTAGATGACACAAAAAATACTGCGGTTTTTTTGGTATAAGGAGAAAGTTTTACTTTATCGAAAATGAATTTTAATTATGTATATATTGGTTATTATTATTTATAAAATTTTTTAATATTATAGATAGTTATTTGCCATTTAATTTCATTGATTTAGAAATTTTATGGTATATCGACCAAATACTAGCTTAAGTGAGTTTTTGCGGCTCTTTTGTTGGCCAATATTTTACCATTGAAAGAGTTTTGCTGAAATCGAAACAAATCTAACAAAACCATTTGATTATTGCTGGTGCAAGATTCTGGCTATATAATAAACACATCAGAACTGTCCCACGAAGTTTCACCAATTTGTCCAACGATGTGTCTGACCTAGCATTGTCTAGATGAAACATAACTCCTTTTCTTCGATTGTTTCATTCTAGTGAGCAGGATAGAACAAAAAGAATCACTTACCAATCCAAAAAGCACTTAAGATAATATTGTTTACTATCAGTTCAGATATTGAACTTGTTTGTACTGAGTCAAAAGCCTTTGTCCATGATTGCTAGCGTTATAGCTCGTTCTTTTTATATAACCCATTAATTTTAGACTGTAAATACCAGACCTTGAATCTTAATCCTGTTAAGTTTTCACCTTAGACTCACATGCTAACAAAGGAGCGAAGTTTGCAAATAATGTATGTTGTCAACAACCTTGGAGTTGGAGTTTTATAAAATTTTTATTTTAATAAAAAATAATACATTTTTAGAACCAACCCATAAACAACAGTTATATAAATGCACTTAATAATTAATTAAGTGTTGTTTTAACACATAAATAACCAATAATGCACATAATTTGTTACCAATAAAACCAAGATATTTACTTTGTATACAGATCCCAAACCAAAAACTACTGACTTGAAGAAATCACTACTTATAAATTATAGAACTTAATTAGAGCCATTAATGAAATTTTTATCCCTTGAATAAATGAGAAATATATTAAACTAAATATAAACTAATATAAAAACAGCAAGTAAAATTGTTAATAAAAACTTTCATAGTAAAAATAGCAAAACTCCAGAAAAATATGCGAACAAAAAAGTCAAGTACGGCTTTGGATCAGTTGGTTAAGGTGCGATGATTCTGAACTTCACATTTGGCAGGACCCGAGTTCGATTCCTGATACTTGCAGTCTCAAAAATAATTATTTACGAATAATTAAATACAAGAATTATTTCCAAGACCACTGATGATGGGTATTTGGTAATATTCGAAATAGCTGTATGGTCAGCCAAAAATCCAACTAATTAAAATAATATAAAAAATAAAATTTTTGTTGTTGTAGTCCACTACTGTTCGAAAAAACCTCTTTATGAAATATAATAAGTTTCTATTAAAATATAATAGTCACTTTCGTCGGGAAAATTTTACGTTAAATTACAACTTATATTTACTAAAAGACTACGGTAAACTAGTAAAGACGTTAATAATAAATTAATTTCTAATTATTTATACTGGTATATTAATGAGAAGATGCTGTCTTTGGACTAAGTGATATCTTCTCCATATGTACCTAAACTGATAATTATTTCAATGCCACATAGAATGAAAGTGATAGCATCATATACTTGCACGCAATCTACCAGTATCTGTTAGTAGCATAAATTTATTCCTAAAAAATAGCTGTGGACTCCTTTAAATGTAATCATTGCAATTAAATAAAAATTATTTTAAATTCTTTACTCCCGTTGAAGTGCCATAGAGTTGCCGTCATGAATTTGATATTCTTTATTTGTCGAAAATATTTCTGTATTTCTGCCAACATCGCAAATGGCGTCTATCAGTCACATTTGGTGGAACCTGACGGCGGTACAAAACTTTCTGACTTGGTTTGCAGCAATTTTATCTGCCTAATTGCATCAGTACAAGTATTTACAAGTATTTAGTGTAAATTATAAAAATTATACCATAAAAGGTATGACGGAATATTAAAAGTATAAAGGAAAAGAATTCCCAGTATTCAGTTGAGAAAAATATGCTGTGCGAGTATCTTTAGATAAAATAGTTATGCGTATTTGCACTATGAATTCATTAAAATAAAACTAAAGGAAGTGAATAAATAAAAATATTATTATGCGATGATGCTAAAATCATATGCTAGATGATGATATAACTAGAAACATGAAAATCTCTGAATACATTAAGTTATTAACATTAATTGTCTTAAAGGTATTCCATTATGTGCGCGTATTCGGTTCCCTTTGAAAGCATAAATGAAGTTTGCAGATTGAAAAGGCATTAATAACGTTTTTTGGAATTTATATCAAAAGTTTCAGTGAAACAAGAGTTGGACATAAAATTTGAAGATATTTCAAATTGACTTGCAAATTTAGTTTGATTATATCCAATTCTATTGAACACTACAAACCTTTAAAGAAGTGATTTATCAGCTAATTAAGAATGGTTAGACCTCTAACAATACATCAGATATTTTGAAAAAAACTCTTATTTATATAAAATTAAGAGTTTTAAACTTGATATTAGATTTCTATCAAGTAACAATAACAACAGTATAGCAACATTATTTATTTGTATAATGGAAAAGTATAACGATTAAACTATCTGATTTATCTTTGTATATATATTGCGGAATTTACAAAAAATAAGTGATTTTTTCAACTAATCGCCATAAGACGCATCTATTTTGCGGTCAATATGTTAACCAGAAAGTCTTAAGCTTTTAATGATGTTTACAATACCTTTATATTTAAAATTATAGATATAAAATAAAGAAAAAGGAAATCCTTTTAGCTGACATCATAGGTAAAGCCAATAGAGGAGATATATGGAATGGTTAAAGCTACGGGTTATGTACAAATTCAATACGCGTTTGTACTGAGCGTTCTAGATAATCTACCGATTATCAGTCTGACAAACTTTGAAATAAGTACTTCTCTAAAAACCTATTTCTTTTCGAAGCCAGAACTATACTATATACTATATACTATATACTATATAGAATACTATATTTTCATTTTTAAAGCACTTCATATACAAATGTATTCGAAAAACTTCAGAGATACTTTTAAATTAATAAAAAAATAAAAATTTTTCCTAATTAAGCATTAAAAAGATTTTTACTTTTATATTTTAATTAAATAAAAGTTATAATAACTTTAAGATTTGGGCTTCAGTCCTACTTTACAAAACTTTTCTATGCTGGACGTGCTCCTATTAAAATTTTAATTACAGCTTTGCGCTGCTAGGCTGCCTTAACAGTTAACTTGAAACTTTTAACATTTAACTTAACATGACAAACAGTGCTGGTAGCGATTGTTATCTATGAAAAAACACTGCCCTCTTCCCAACATTGACAATATCGCATAGGATCGTATCGACGCGAAGCCATTGATGATGATCTTAAATCTACGACAATAGAAGTGGACGAGGTGGTCGCCGTACATTACGCCAAGATTTTTGTCTTGTACGTATTGTCTGCGTCGTCGTCGTCGTCATTGTAGTTGTTGTCGTCAACATCTTCGTCTGTGCCAACGTCACTTACATAAACTTTGTTTTTATTTTTTTGTTTTTTCGTTTGTACAAATGTTGCTTACTCGCATTCGTGTTGTAAATATTGTACACAGTAGCAAGCAGCATGTTGTTTGCATTTTAAGAATTTATGTAAACATGTTGTTAGCAACTTGTTTATTGTCTTTTTAATATTTTTTTTATTGCTCTGTTCTATGCTTTTTATTTTGTTTTGTTGTTGTGTCTGCCAAAAACTATGTTAAACATATTTAAGGAAATCGTTTGCGAAGCTTAAGTAGTTAAAGGTCAATTGACACAGTTTTTTGTTTTTGCGTTTGTTGCTCTTTTAGCCTGTGCTTAAGTGTGCGTTATTGGTTATTTCTTGTCTTTACTCTTCCTCTATATGTTATTAACTTTTTTTATGTAAGCCGTGGGAGTCGGTTAGCTGATGGAAACATTATTAAAATGATTACACTGTTGGTTATTGTTTTCTACTGTTACTATAATTGTTGTAGCCGATTACTGGCACTGCTCACACAGCAGCTGCTGTTAGATCAATATCTCTTAACAACCGATTACATCGCAATTTATATATTTAACAAATTCGTGATTTACTTTTCTGTTAAACGTAAGCTAATTAGTGTAGACATTTACAGAATGGACTATATTTATTGTAATTTATTTCATACGAAAGTTATGTTATGCATAACATAATATTAATTTTATTAATAATTATTGAAACATTAACACTTACCCTTTTGCAAGTTGTTATGATGATCATTCATCTTAGCCTGCAAAGAACATATGAGTGATTAGTTCTTTAAATATTATAAATAACAAATAAATAATATAGAATAGCAATTGATTATAAATTATAAAGCAATTTTGTTTCTTCCAATCATTACTTCAGAGGTATTAATTTATAAATTATTGCATATTTATAGACGCATGTTTATAGGGAAGAAAAAATTACATACATATGCATAATAAATTATAATTTATACTGGAGAAGGAGGATTGAAAAATTGTTTCATATGAATAAAATATATAAAAATCATAATGAAATACAAAGCATCCAATTAAGTTTTTAATTACTGTTACCTCTTAAAATATTAAAATATATACACATTATGCGAACTTAGTCCAGTCACAATCTGTGAATTCATAAGAGAATTATAATTTTTAAAATAACTATGTAATCTAAAGTGAAGTTTAATTCAAAAAAATTTTCTTTTCGTGACCACATTAACCCTCTTAAAAAAAATTATGGGCTTTGCCAAGGTTTGAAGGTGGTTTTTAAATCTCTGAGTTCTAATATGATAACGCAGTGGACCTATCTAAGTCCTATAATAATTAGACAACATTAGCGGGTAATATCAGAAATTTCTTTTTTGTTTTTAAAAACCGTATTATATATTATATATGATAAGTAATAGTAATCATATAATTGTTATAAAAACTTATTTAAAACTATTGATATTACTTCACCACCTATATATTCCGTTGATAAATATTTTAGTCTTATCATACATATACAGGATTTATACAAGAAAAAAAAAGAATTTTGAATTAAATTTCATTTACATCACCTAGTTATTTTAAAAATTATAATTCTCTTATGAAATAATTTATTCTTTACAAATGTGACTTCTAGAAATAAATTCACAGATTGTGGCTGGACTAAGTCTGCATGTGTATATATTTTAATATTTTAAGAGGTAACAGTAATTAAAAACTTAATTGGATGCTTTGTATTTCATAATGATTTTTATATATTTTATTAATTTTGGTGGTCTAACACTTTGAAATACTTTAGAACCACATCATATATAATGGGAAAATGGAATTGCAAAATAAGTTTATTCTATAGGCAGAAGTGAGGTAGTTATATTCATAGTTTATAATTAAAAAATAAGTTCAATTCCTACACTTATTTTTTAAACAATCTTGTAATCTTTGACTATGATGATCACTAAGCAGGTGTACACAACCTAAACCATCAGTTTTTCATTCTAATATATTGCAATATTATAGAAACCCGTGACTGTTCACTTTTAAGGTAAGGAAAGGCTAGACGAAAGCTAGCATTTATAGTTTTATGTCAGTACTAAAAAGTAAATGTATTTACAGTACACTACAAGTATAGATTTATTTATATCGGGATGAGAAATTTATGCAACCGAAAGTGTGATTGCTATTAAGAATTTTTTCGTTTAAAATAATAAGCACTATGTTATAGAAATTCAATCGCTTAGGCTTAAAAATTATTTTATATTCTAAACCAATAGTCTTTATAGTTCTATAACAGACCAAAGATAACAATAGAAATCATCTGTACAATATTTGCACAGATCGAAAACTTAATTAAGTTATTGCAAATTTAATCAGTAGCAGCTGAATTTATATTCTTGGTTAAACTGGTATATGGAAACAATTTGAATCCATAGCTTAAGGTAGTTCTAAGAACAAATTTTGTTGTTCTTTGATCCGAAGTATACTTATATTGAGGAATACCTTCATTGTAGGCTTTGAGACTAAGTTGTACAGTGGTTGTGTTTCTAAAATATATCTTTAGTTACTAACCATATTCTTTTTTTACGCCCACTACTACTCCAAGACGATATAGAACAATTGTTAATTACTTACTTTTACTCGTATGCATATTTAACACTAAAATCAAAACAGAAATTAAACTAACGAGGGATTGTAATGTCACAATAATCCTCGAGGATGCAGTGACGCGGTGACTAGTTTCCAACCCTTTTTGAAAATAAAAAAACGAAGGATTGTTTATTGATGTCTTTTCACTCTACAAAGTTAAACTTTCAATATTCATCTGCTCTTACTAAATAAAGAGCAATTCAGAAAGATTAAGAAAGCGAATAAAGCATTGACTGGTTAACAAATAGCTGTCTGAAATTATTTACCATTACCACGCACCAATTTTTTATAATATTAAAAAAAATTAGAATGACTTTTGCCAAAGGTTTGTTAATACGTAATAGAATCAAGAATCCAGTTTACAATGTAAAGTAAAGTCAAGTTAGTTCGAATAATATAATATAAAATTTTATTCGGCTTTATTAGAGTAAATGATATTACTTTGTCATTTTGATAGCCTACAGCCTAAGCACTTTTAGTTACGACTTACTAAGACAAAAGTGTTTTGTCTGCTGCTGCAGTTTAATTACAGCTACTTTAGCTACTTTATTTAACAGCTACTTATAATCTTGTAATAGTAGCAATGTTTTTAATTTTTAATTAATGTTTAAGAGAAGAGATTTGTTGATCATTGTAAATACGCTATAACGCCTAGGTCTGTAGAACTATAACATTGATCTACAGCAATTACTGTGTAAAGCAAAAAATACAGCAAAGCACTACCTAATAATTGCTGCAGCGTAAAGCAGTAATTAATCAATGGACTCAAATATAATATATAAAGAAGATACCCCAATTTCATTTGAAGCACTTAACTGATTTGGGCCATAGACAGTCATATAACGAATTTTCACGGTTTCTTTTAGTCATCACTAAAAATGATTCTTTTTTTTGTACCTAAATTTAGATGTTGCTTGTTTTTGTGTAGTTATACTTGCAAATTCACATAGTCTACTACTTAGTTTTGAAAGGCACAAATTCAGACATATATTATTGAGCAACACTGTTTCGACCAACATATCGATGCAAAGAAAGGTTCGTCACCATGCCCAAATTTTAATCCAACTTTTTCTTAATCCCAATTTTTAATTTTATTATATTTGACATGAACATGACTGTCTGCATAACATGGTTCTAACAAGCTATTAACGCAGGGTTGCCAAAACTATATATTCGCCTATTACAAATTTACTTTTGTTTATTTCTTTTATGTTTTGTGATAAATGATTTCAAATGAACAAAATGAATAAAATCTTAACATGTTTTGAAAATATAAATATTAAATAAGTATATTCTAAATAAAGTATACTTTTTCTAAATTTTAAGAAATTGTTCGTTTTGCTTCTCAGTACTTATTACGTGCTTTAAAAATATGAATGCTTGTATATTTGAAACCTTTCATTTATTTAAACGATGCTGTGTATATTTTTTAGCATTATATTCTTTTGTAAGCATATCGTAAAAGGACAACATAAAATAAGCATTACTTTCAATGGCCACTCTGGAAAAACTGAAAATTTTTATTTCGATATTTGCCAGGTTTATATATGCAAATACACATATTTGCAAGATACGTAAATTTAAAGCTAAAATTTTGAAAATTAATAATAATTTTTTAACATTAAAATAATAAGCAAAAAAAATAACAACTACGAAATATGAATAATTAACAATATCATATATTGACAGTTAACTGGAAATTTTGTACGTACTTTCAAAAATCGGTCATAACAGACGAATTTTTAGTCTTGGCAACTATGTGTTTTCAGCTGCTTCTTAGTTAAGCGATTTTAAAGAAGTTGGACTTAATAAGCCAGCAGTGTTGTTGTTTCATATGTTATATATAAAATAAGCGATTGTTTTTTTTTGTGTTGTGCTTACAAAAGAATATGCTTAATGTTAAATGTTATAATTATATTTCTTAATTTTTTTTTTGTTATAATTTTTATAATTAAATTGTATTTAAATAATTTTTTAATTATAATTTTTTATAATTAAAAATTATATTTATTTAGCAAATAAATGTAATATTTAAAATATTTAATAAAATTGTAAGTGCCATTTAAATATTAAATAATTAAGTAAATAAATATTCATATTAGAAAATTATAAAAAATTTTTGTCTGTTATTTTCAATGCATCCAATCACAAAATTTAATATAAAATGGTAAATATTTTTATACATGTGTTATTTTTTTTTTTTATAAAATGATTCGTGTTATTTATTGGTCAGTGATATGTACGAAATCAAATATGCAAATTAAACTTTTAAAACATTTTTGATGCGAATCAGTGTTAATCTTGCAACTAAACAATTTAAATAAAATAAATTTATCACTTGTCAGAAAAGCGTTTTATCGGCTAAATAAACGCCAGACATGAGAAAATCAAAACATGCAAATACTATTTTTTTTTGTTTTAATTTAAATTTTTTTTTAGATTTTTACAACGAAGTCTTTCTTTTATATTTTATTTTTCATATAAAAAATACTAAACTTCCCCACTTAACATGACACCACAGCCAGTCAATGAAAATAAATGAAATATGGCAAAATATCTAAACGGAAATAGGTTAAAAACTGAATGAAAAAGTGGCGCAACAACAACAAAAATAGTAAAAACAACAACGATAGTGCCAGCAAAAAAAAAATCCAAAATAAGCGAACATAAAAACGGACATGACCTACGACTAGAAAAATTGTGCTAAAAATGTTTACTATCAAATTTGAAATATTGTTCAATAAAAAATAAACACACTAACAACACACTAAAACACAATAAAAACACACAAAAACACAATAAGAGCACAAAATTTGAAAAAAAAATATTTAAAAAATCTGTTATCAAGACTAAACAACAAAATCATTTAAAATATTTGCGCTCGAAAATAAATTTCAAGCATTTCTAGTTGAAGAATATAAATTATATTTCATATTTATTTACATAAATAAATATATATTTTTTTTTATATATAATAACATAATTACAAGTAATAATAATAAATAAAATAAAGATGTATTAGGTTAGTTTGAAATATACCTCATATCCCTGCTTCATGGACATGTGGTTGCGTGGTGTTGGTGGCCAACCATTATAATCGCCGATTTCTTTGGTGTGTTGTCCGCACTGTTAAAAAAAAAGAAATAAAAAGAAAAAACTGTTATTAAAGTAAGCAGAAATATATGAAACGTAAAAAAAAAGAACTCATTGAAATAGCAGTGAAAGCTAAGGAACAATAAGTACAAAGACATTGGAAAAAAAGAGAAGAGAAAACCGGAAGTGCAATACAAAATAATAACAAATAATTTTTTTTATCAACACATGTAATTTTGTTTTTGGTTTTGAATATTTATTTTTCTCTTTCAAAAGCCACTTACTTTCACTGCAATTGTGATATAGTCATATGCAAATATGTGTAAAAGGGTTTTGCATAGATAAAAGCAAATAAAACATTAGAAACCGGAAATGGCAATGGCACAGACAAAACAATAAAATTTAGCTTCACCTTTTTTCCGCCATTTTCAAGAGAAGAAAAAAGATATTTTTTCTATTTGAAAATTGTTCATTGCCGTGTGGTGTCGTCAATGTTTCACTTCGACTTTTGGCCAGCAAAATCAAATTTTATTTTTAGTTAACACAAAGGCTTACATATTTTTTACAAAATCTAACATATAAAAAACATGTAAATAAAAAAAATAATATCTAATGCCAATAAACTTTGGGTGTAAATATGTATGAATTTTTTTACTCTATTAAAAATTTTTTATTAATACTTCACAAGTGAAATAAAGTTTGTTGATTTAAGCGTAATGGATTATGGTGATTGAAATGAATTGTAAAGATTTGGGGCTTTCACTGGAGGTCAGATTTTTTAAAATTTTAGAATAAATAAATTTAAAATTAGAAACACATAATGTGACTATTATTATAGCAATATAATTATTTACTGTTACATAGAATTTACTATCTAAACTGTACCATTGCGATTTAAATTGATGTGATTGTAAAAGTAAGTAACTCCAAAAAGCTAGCCAGACTTGACACCTCTTTCATAGAAAATTCCGTTTCAATCCCTGCTTCTGCCAGTCACATATAAAAATTGATATATGACAATTTTTAACGACAAACAAATAACAATTGGGCTCATATTTCTTCAGCAGCTACGTCAAAAGCTACATAACTCTTATACTAAAAATGCGAAATAAATGAAGTGTTTAAGATAGTATCTGTCCTAACAAGACACTGAACTATAAGCTGGCATGGAGCCAGGCTTGGGCTGTCGAGACGAGTGTCCTGTAGTACATGTCCATAGGCACTCAGAAAGGAGATTCCGAAGCACATGTTTTGTCTTTATATATCTTAACCGAGCTCAAGTTTTTTTTTTTATTTTATAATTCCTTAGATAAAATTTAATTTCTTGTTGACACTTGTTTCGATCTACGGTTGTCCTTCTCTAAAAATAAATTTGCTTATTTATTGAGAACAACAGTAAGTATTAATAGAAAGGTTTTTGAACAGTAGTGAAATATATCATATTAAATCATAAAAAACACTTTTATGATTTAATATGATATATTTCACTACTGTTCAAAAACCTTTCTATTAATACTTACTGTTGTTCTCAATAAATAAGCAAATTTATTTTTAGAGAAGGACAACCGTAGATCGAAACAAGTGTCAACAAGAAATTAAATTTTAGTTTATACATAAAAATTTTTTTGGTGGATATAAGAGTAAAATTATTTATTCAATTTAAAGAACTACTGGTTTCCAGATCTTTTAGAATACAATTTAACTTTTGAAAATAGTAACTTTCATTAGATGTATTCGACCATTCTGAAGTGTTGCGAAAAACAACAAGTCTCTATTTAGTCTTCAAAATGAAAACACTACTCTCTTCCTCAATAAACTAGTTATGAAGTGTCTAATCATCTAAGAGGCAGCAGAAAAAATGTTGTCAAAGCTATAAACGATCTATCTGCATTGGAAATTTTGACAAAAATTCCAGTAATCTGTGATTCAAACAAAAACACAAATTGAGTGATTAAGTTTCACTGCCGACAACCGACCGGAGGTGTAAATTTGGTACCATGATAGTTAGCGCTCGGAGCTTCAGCTATTCTGACCAGTAACAATCAATCAACTGTGCAAAAATTGTTATAAAAGTTATTTTTAATCGTCAATTTTACTTAAAAGAGGCATGGCATGTTAAATCGCTCAAAAGCTAGAACTGGGGAGCTGATAATACATTCAACTTATCACAGGGTTTCTCACTGGATATTGTGGAATTAAGAAGCATCGATCGAATCTAAGTATTACAAGCGACGATAACTACAGACTTTGTGGAGAAAAAAAGGAAACAGCTGTCTTCGGCACTTATCAACTGCATATCCAATTATAACGGAAATAGGAAACATCACTCCAAGGAACATAATGGCATTTTTAAATGGAACTAAATTGGATTTGTCACAAAAATTGCAGTGACGTGATAGCTCCCAGCCCATTTTATCTAATATAATCTAAGTGTGGCATGTGGCAATGAGATTATAATTTGCTATAAATCATTTAATTGAATTTTCAAATATAGGCAATTTGGTAATAATATATTGATAATCACGGGCAGTATTATTTTTCCTGATTTTGTTGGTATTCTGGGACTTAAATTCACTGAAATTAGTTGAGCCTTGCCCTACCCGACAGGTTTTGATATTGCATTACGGTTGGTCAGAGCCGGTAATGGACTTTCCAAGCATATCACAATTTACAGATTTTTAACGTTCGCTTTTAAAACAAAGACCCCAACCTGCTTGTTAGCAAAGACCTCAGCTTGGAATATACTGATTATACTCTAAATATGAAAGGATAATCATTTTTAGTAGAAAATCTTGTAATAATGTAATAATTAATGTAATGACCAATTTGATTTGATAAATAATTTAATTAATTTTTAATTTATAAATAAAATTATGTATTATTTTTCTAAATAAATTAATGATATTGCTATAGTTTATAAGATATTCTATGTATTACTGCTATTAAGCTGGATAATTGCTATATATATATATATATATTGTTTGAATTTACATTAATTAAAATGCGTTATCTTATGGGATTTCTCATAATTTACTACACTGAACTAGTGAAACGAACTTTTAAACTATGTCTTTATGTTATATTTTGTTAACATGAAACTGAAGTTGGAATATAGACATTCCTATACTTTTAATTAATATTACTAGCAGAAATGTAAGAGATGTAGAAAAGGTGCATGAACTATTCAAAGTCTGTGTGTTTTTACAGACCTTTACATTTTAGTTGTCTTTAATTTGTTTAGTATCTTGGACGTGATTGATAGTACTTTGTAATGAGGATTTGACATTCGAAATGTCAGTAGAACGCAATTTTTTGAAAAGAAATGTATTCAAAACAAGCAGAAATGAAAACAAAACCAAGTCGTTACCGCACCTTCAACCTATTTCGACGCACGCATACACTTTACTTTAACCAGATTGAAAAGTAGCAGAGGCAGCGACGCTGTGCTCACACTAAACATCACCAGCGTGAAGAGCGGCAGTAATATTGCAACAACAACAACAGAAACAAAACAATGTGGAGGACTATCCAAAAACGTAACGACAAGGCAGCAGCAGCGTATACTACACAACAAAATCAACTAAAAACCAAAGACACCAAAGCAGAGCTACAATAATAAAACAAAGAAAACAGTCAAAACAAAACCAAAATCCAAAAAAAAAAGCAAGATGTAAAATCTGAAAAAAAATTTTAACCAAAACGTAGAGAAAAAAATTCAAAACATTTTTTAACCCCTTCGGCAGCCCATACCAATTTAAAATATCACAGAAAACACAAAAAAAAACTTAGAGAAATAAAACACAGCGACATTGCTGCGCTGCTTTGCATTGTACTATGCACTATGCGTCAGTCGGAAGGGTCCAGTGCCGCTGGCTTGATTGAAGCATGGGCACATAACATAACGTAACGCGCTCGCTGCATAACAAACGGTTGAGCAAATAAAAAAATTTTGAAACAAAATAAAAAAATTTAAAATTTGAAAAAAGCCAAAAACACAGAAAAAACAAAAATTAGGAAAGAACATTTTTTATTTTCTGTTGTTGGACATTTGCCTTTCGTTGGGTTTGAGTTGACAAGCGCGGGTGTGTAGTAGTTGGGTGGCGACATGGTGAACTCCATCAGTTTGTTAGGGTTGGTTAAGGGTCGTGCTTCGTTTAGCTTGTAGTCAATCCTCATGGTTACAAAGTAGCGACCATTTTTTTGCCTGCTAAATCCAAAGACTTCTTACAATTTTTTACTTTTTACTTTCTGCTTTCTACTTTCAACTACTACTGCTCCACCACCAACAACAACAACAACAGCAACAGCTAAAAACATTTTTATTTCTGATTTTTTCAGCCGTTTGATATTTTTTTCTATTTCTTTTAGATTATTTTTTTTTCGTATTTTCATTTTTCCTTTGCATTTGGTTATTTCTTTTTTTTTTTTTTGTTATGTGCTCGCATTTTTTTTTCTCGTCTGGTTCTATTGATTTTTTCCGCATTTAAAATGGAAAAAAATATCCTTTCAAATGCTACATTTGTAGCGGTTTCGTGTGGTCTGAGGTTAAAATTTGAATTTGGATTTGAATTTTTTACTGTCGTCGGCAACTAACAAATTTGCAGCACTTTTCTGAGAGGACTTTAATATATTCGATTAGTTGGCTGTAGTAATTTCCGTGATACTCCTGAAAACTATGGTTGAAGTAAAATGCAAAGCGGTGACAACATATTCAAGTAAAATATTTAGAAAACAAAATAGGTGTTAATTAACCTAAAGCTTTATTATGATATTATTTTTAAAAATATTAAGTTTTTTAGAATTGAAGGGGTAAGAGCAGTAGATAAGCTTAGTTTCAAACTGTCATCAATTAGCATCAATAGATGCCAGAACTTCCATTGATACTAATGACAAACATACTTTCTATTGAAAAATTCGTATGAAGCCAGTCTGTAAAGTGGTTCAATAGTGTCATAACCATATTGACTGATCTATCTAATCTATCTAATCTTCCTTAATTTACGAATTTTGTAGGTCTTCACTGCCTTTTATAT